TTCTCTAGAGAAATTTATATATTGGCATCTGTCCCTAATATGTTCATATGAATTAAATAAAAAGTGAGTGCTGTGATTTTGAACTACAACTTAAAAAACCCAACTGTAGAGGCAAATAAAATATACTTGACATTAATATTAAACATATATATATTTAAGTCCATCGTGCCTTCCTTTAACTGAGGAAATATTAGAGCCCAGTTGTAACTGCTCCTTATTATTTGCCTAAGATGAGAGATTAAATGTTCTTCCTCCCTTTTAACAATCACCCACACACAGGCAAAGGTGAACTTGACAAAGCATCACAGCACTTGTCTAGGAAACAAGCACTCTCTCCAACAGAACAGAAATGTTCCCTCCCCACCTCTCACACGCCTGTCTCCAGAGCCCCTTACCATCTCTTGTCAGGTTCATGCTGCCAAACACCAGAGGACCAATAAACTGAGCCTTGATATCACCTTCAAGGTAAACAAATATCGTGGGCAGATTCCTATCAGGATAATTGGGTATGCAGGTGGTTGAAATGGCTTTGATAAATTTGACATCGGGAAACTTCCTGGCAAGTCCACTGAGGTGTTGATTTATCAGGGCACAGAGGGGAATCCTATAAAGTAGAAAGAAAAAACAGAAGCAACTGTGGTTGCTCAAAAAGCTCAACTACCCTTTTACCCTATGTAAAGCCTCATAACAGCTTCATGAGTGATTCTGCTGCTAGCTAAGATGAATTAATATTTTTTCAAAATTTTTCTAATATGCTCAGAGAAAGTGAAGAACTCGAAATCCAAAGTCCAATTTATTTTGAGACAAAAATAAGTCAGAAAAACAGCTTCAATGTAAAAGATAATTGGTATGCCTTTCTGTAAGGTTGAATGATAGAACATCGAAGATTTAGAATGTATGAACATGTGAACTATGTCAGAAAGCAATTTCCTGCTTAAAAAAATTCCTAGACAAGCACTGGCCTCTACAGTTTAAGAACAGGATTGGGCATTTGAGAAATACAGAGGACAGTGGCATCACTTAGTACAGGCAATTACCATAAAGGCCAACCTCACCATCTACAAGAGGGATTGCTTACATGGAATTCTGAAATGCCAGAGTTCCTCTAGAGGGATAAATAACTTAGAAATTCTCTTTCAAAAAAAAAAGAAAAGGCTGGGCGCGGTGGCTCACGCCTGTAATCCTAGCTCTCTGGGAGGCCGAGGCAGGCAGATTGTTTGCGCTCAGGAGTTCAAAACCAGCCTGAGCAAGAGCGAGACCCCTCTCTACTAAAAATAGAAAGAAATTAATTGGACAACTAAAAATACATTGAAAAAAAAATTAGCCGGGCATGGTGGTGCATGCCTGTAGTCCCACCTACTCAGGAGGCTGAGGCAGAAGGATTGCTTGAGCCCAGGAGTTTGAAGTTGCTGTGAGCTAGGATGACGCCACGGCACTCTAGCCCGGGCAACACAGTGAGACTCTGTCTCAAAAAAAAAAAAAAGAAAAGTCTTCATTGGTATACTTTAATAGGGGCATTTGTATTAGTGACAAATAGTAATTTGAAGGTCTTGAGGTGAAAATTAGGCAATAAGGTTTGGGCAAGCCAACAACAAACACATATAACTTGGTACCCCCAAAAAAACCAAAACAAAAAAAACCCCTCCAATATGGATTAAGCCTGAAATGTTCAAGACATAAATTCAAATTAACATTTTATAGACAGCGTGGAAGATCAGCTCACCCTTGTTTGTAAAGGTGCAAGACTACCCACAAGCCCTCACCGGCTTTGGTAACTTCTTGAACATAATCCTTTCCTGAGATCTCCAAAACTTCTCCAAATTTATTCTTCAGTTTAGTTGCTTTCCACTCAGCCAATCTTTGCTGCCTGCACAAAAGGAGGAGAGAAGCATCTTACATAGATACACACACAAGCACGTGCACACACACATACATCTTTCAGAAAGCAATCCTTGTACTGGTCCAGGTTTATTTATTTCTCACGGCAAGAGTGTAAGACCAGTTTGTTGACATTTGCAATATTGCTATTATAGTCCTTTCCAAAAGTTATCTCAGCTGGAAAATTCATTTTTCAAAGGAAACGCATTTTATTAACACACACAAAAAAATAAACTGTCTCTCTGGGTGGTACTAACCTGTACATTTCAATAGCACGTTCATCCTCTTCATTAAATTCATCTTCATGATCCTCCAGCTCTTCCAAAGTCATATCTTCATATGTTTTCACTAAGTTTAGTTATGTTGACAAACAGCAAAAAATTTAAAAAGATGAACAAACATGTATTTTGCTTTTTTCCCTCTGCTTTTCTCCTAAAGGCATGTATACACCACCAGAAGATCCCCAGCAAAAAAAAAAAAAAAAAAAATTCCTTAAGTTACTACACTAAGAAGTTGAAAAGATAGGCCTATGTTGATTTCTGTAGACCTGACTGTCTCACTTCCACACAATAATAAGGTATGAATGAGAAGTTTCCCAAGTTTATAAAACAAGAGATTTGCCTGAAGTCACCTGGTCCAATCTTCAAGTACATGAACAGTTCTCATATCATCCAAGGAGGCAGGATACTATTCAGTGTCCTACCCATGTACACCCTTCCTAGAGTTAAAGGTGATTATCACATACTTCTTGGTCTTTTAGTATGAGTGACAGGCAGCTCTATCTTTTCTTGTAACCGATTGCTATAAAATCCGTATTTTTATTGCCATAAACACTTTCTCAAAATCGAATCAGGTTTTTTCCCTCCCCCCATCACTCCATGAAGCCCTCTACTCAAGGTCAACAATGACCCCTCACTTCTTGACTGATGCCTCTCTCCTCCTACCCCTATGGCTACCTAATCCCTTTGAACTTTTTGCTGTTCATTGTCTGACTCCTCCACTAGAATGTAAGTTTCATGAGGCAGAGAATTTTGTCTGGTGCATGCATAGCTACATCCCCACACCCAGAATAACACATGACATGTGATGATCATTCAATAAACATTTGCTGGATAAATACTTTCTAATATATCCTTCTCTAAGTCAGCTCTAACATGTAAACAGGGGACAAAAGTACTAGTCCCTGTTATCAGTGGTTCTCACACTTTGGCATGCACCAGAAGTCTTTATGGCACTTGATTAAAATGCCGATTCCTTGGCCCCACCCCAGAGATCCCGATTCAGTAAAGATTTGGGGTGTTTTTTTTTAACTAAGCACTCCAAGGGATTCCAATCCAAGTACATAACTACCTTTGAGAAAACCCCTCACAGACCCCACGTATTGCAAACATCTTATCCCTCTCCAAATTAAGCTATTTTAATATTCTTAATCAATCCACAAAGATGATAAAATATAAGCTCAGGAGAATACAAACACTAAAAACTTTGAACAAATTTCAATGACATTATTTAAAGTGAATCACAGACCAGAAAGTCAAGACTCAGAAATACTTTGTTCAGGATATCATGTACTCATCTGACATAGACAAGGACTTATGGGACCTCTGAAGTCCCCCTAATTCTATGCCCCAGAAAGGTAAAGGCTAGAGACACCTTGTGATTTGACTGAGGTCCCAGACATACCAGCACTCTGGTCCCTGTGTCCTGCTCAGAGGATCCTTCTATCGCAGTAGTCAGAGACTTAGAAAGTTCTTCCCTAACTCAGAAAGACAAGGAACAAGAAAATGAGCAAGCTCACCCACTGACTGCTGGAGGACTCTCTGCTCCTCCTCTTCTGCCTTCTTTTCCAAATCTTCCAGACTTTCCTTTGAGGGCAAGATGCCCTTTTTGCGTAAGATGTCATTCCACTCAGTGTCTTCGTTGGGGTCCTAGAACAGGAGGACCAAGGCTGCCATGAGTGCAAAGTCCAGTATGGAGGGCACCGTGTTAGGCAAGGGGCCAAATGGGCAAAGTGGTGGAAAGGGAGGAATTCAAACCAAATTATTCTGTGGTCTACTTCTGAGAAAGTGTCAAAAGCCCCATAGTCCCTGTTCTATTCTTCCTGTCTATCCCTCTTCCGTCCCTCTGCGGAGGAGCTAGTCTTGGCTAAAAATCAGGATATAATGTGCAGATCAGCATCAGTACTGATACCAAGGCTCCAACCTGACTTATGTTCAATATTTTTATTAATGACTTGGCACGATTCATTCAACAGATTTTTTAGGTACCTACCACAGGTATTAGACAAAGGAGAAGCACGGTGAATAAAACAGTCAACTATGTTATAGTCAAGAGGAATAGACAGGTAACGACAAGTACACATACACAAGTGCAATGACAAACAGGTTGCTGGTCTAGAGAGTTACAGGGGACCTGCATTCCACAGGGTAGACAGAGATGTTCTCCATAGGAGGTGACATTTAACCATCACCTGAGGGTGGGAAGCAACCAGCCACAGGAGTGTGGGGGCTTAGGAAACAGCTTTTCAGGCAGAGTGAACAAAGAGATTGTGACATCTTGAGCATCTCAAAGCCTAGAGAGGCTGCAGAGGAATCTGAGAGGGAGGAGAGCCTGAGGCTAGGCTGACAGAATTCTCTAATGGCCAGACCTGAAAGGAAGAGCTGAGAGCCCTCAGAGCAGCTGGTAACAGCTAATGTTTATTAAACACTAAGTTCTGGACACTCTTCTAAGCCCTTCACTTGCACCTACTCACAGAATCCTCACAAGCCTAGGGGAGGCATGGTGTTTAGAAAGACACTGCCCTGCTAGAACAGTTGGCCAAATATACCCGGATCAAATGTCAGAAATATCAGTGTCAAACTGGGCTCTTAGATACAGAACCCAGCTGCCCAAGCACAGGTTTGCATGGTGTGGCAGAACACCTCTTACGGAGCATAGGCTTGGTCTGGAACACAAATCAAGGTGCGCTGTGGAAAGGGCACCAGGATAACCAGGCTCCAGCCTCGTCTCTGTATCACCATCTTGCTGAGATACATCAGAAAGAAAATTGACAGAATCCTTTCAACAGGGTGGTCAGGGAAGGCCTCTGAAGAGATGGCATTTTAAAGCAGGGACCTGAAGGATGGAGGATGCAAAGGAGGAGCCAGAACAGTCCCTGGTCTTCCTCTTCGCGTTTAAGAGTGACTGGCTGTGGCAGACTCGCTGTCCTTGTAGAGGGTCATCCCCGGCTGCCCCCAATGCGGCCCTCCCCAGCCAATCCCACACAGCATCTCCATTTCCCCTCTGCCACTGAGCAGAGGCTACTTAATCAGAATTTCTGACCACGGCGAGATCAGGGAGAGTCGGGTCTTTGCACAGTGACAAAATTTAGTTGTTATAGATTTCTGCTCAGAAAGGTGCCCATTTCCAAGGTGTTTTCATTCGTTTTCTTTGGACTTTAGTCAAGTTCCATTAGCAAATTCCAGCTACCAGAAAAGAATAAAACTAGGGGATTTTGATTTTGATCCATTTTAAGAAAAAATTCAGCACTGAGCAGAGGGAACCCTCAGGCTGAGCTCTGGAACCCAGGTGGTCTGAAATGGGGCGCAACCCAACTGAACACCAGAGTTCAGAGGAAGAGGGTGTTAAGCCCTCACCCAGCTCTAACTGCAGCCAGGAACACGGGTTCCGCCGCCGCTGCTGTAGGTGGTAGGATCCCCCAGGCCTGACCCTCCGCGTCTCCACGCCTCAGCTTCCCTGTCCCCACAATGAGTCCACAGCACACCTGCTCCTGCGCTCACTAAGGGAGCTAACAAATAGCAAAGACCTTTTGTCACGTGGGATCTGGCAAGTTCTTCACGGGACCCGGTGGGGGCAGACCTCGAGCTTCCTCGAGAAGCCTGCAAGGACAGAGATTTGGGGTCTAGGGCACAGTGCGACAGCGACGCCCAGCCCTGGGTACGGCACGGACCACGCCCGCCCGCCCGCACTGCGCCTGCGCGGGGCCTGAACTCGTGCGGCCTCCCCAGTGTCTGGCGTGCCTGGCGCTTCCCGCAAGCCCGGCATCCGTCCAACGGGACAAACGAAGAGGCTCCGGCGCCGCGCGCCGCACTCACCTGCATTGTGTCTCCAACCGCTCACGCCAGTCCGGCCGCGGCACCGCCGCCCCTCAGTTCCCGTCTGCGCACGCGCGCAGCTGCCGCCCCTCCTCTCCTCTCAGCCCGGCCTTCAGGAGAGGGCTCTGAGTCTGCGCCTGCTCCCCAAGGAACCGGCGCCGAAGTTACGCGCTGGCGTGGATCAGGACACGCCCACCGCCTTCCGGCCCCAGAGTTCACGTGACCCAGGACTAATTTTGAGCGCGGCCTTATTAGGGCATGCGTTCGGCCCAGTGTTGGTGGAATAGAGTGCTCAGTGGCAGTGTGCATTCCACGGTGCTTGCCCAAACCTGTGAAGAGATCTCGGTGGCCTTGACTAAAAAGTCAGAAATAGAAATACCTCTCAGTGATCTGTTATAATTAAAAATGATGTAGGGCCACCTGGAATTCAACACTGTCATTTAGGTATCGGGTAAGGCAACTCATTCATAAAAATTTTATTGAGAGCCTGCTATGTACCAGGCACCATTCTAGGTTCTGCGGATACTGCAGTGATCAAAACACAAGACATTTATTTGTGTCTTTTTGATAATAGCCATCCTAACTGGGGTGACATATTGCATTGTGGTTTTAATTTGCATTTCCCTGATGATTAGTGATGTTGGGCATTTTTTCATATATTTGTTGAGAAACGTCTGTTCAGATCATTTGCCCAGTTCTTAATCAGGTGTGTGTGTGGGGTGCTGTTGAAATGTTTTGAGTTCTTGTATATTCTGGATATTAATCCTGTGTCAGATGAGTTAATTTGCAAATATTTCTTCCCACTCTGTAGGTTGTCTTTTCGCTCTGTTGACTGTTTCCTTTGCTGTGCAAAAGCTTTTTGTTTAATATAATCCCATTTGTTTACTTTTGCTCTTGTTGCCTGTGCCTTTCAGGTTTTACTCATAAAATCTTTTCCCAGACCAACGTCCTGAAGTGTCTCCCCTGTTTTACTTCTAGTAGTCTTGGGTCTTACATTTAGTTCTTTGATCAATTTTGAGTTAATTTTTGTGGAGCATGAGAGGTCGGAGTTTAATTTCATTCTTCTGCATATGGTTATCCAGTTCCTCCAGCACCATTTATTGAAGAGACTGTCCTTTTCCCTATGAGTGTTCTTGGCATCTTTGTCAAAAGTCATTTGGCTGTAGATACGTGGATTAATTTCTCGGTTCTGTTTTCTGTTCCATTGTCTGTTTTTATGTCAGTACCACGCTGATTTGGTTACTACAGCTCATAGTATATTTTGAGGTCTGGTAGTGTGATACCTTCAGCTTTGTTCTTTTTGCTCGTGGTTCCTTTGGCTATGTGGGGCTTTTGTGATTCCACACAAATTTTAGGAGTTTTTTTTTTTCTATTTCTGTTAAGAATGTCATTAGCATTTTGATAGGGATTGCATTGAATCTGCAGATTGCTTTGGGTAGTATTGTCATTTTAACAATATTAATTCTTCCAATCCGTGAGCACAGGACGTCTTTCCATTTGTTTTTATCATCAATTTCTTTCATCAGTGTTTCATAGTTTTCTTTGTGAGGTCCCTCACCTCCTTGGTTAAATTTATTCCTACATTTTTTCTTATAGCTATTGTAAATGGGATTGCCTCCTCGATTTCTTTTTTAGCTAGTTTGTTGTTCATGTAGAGAAATGCTACTGATTTTTGTATATTCATATCCTGCAACTTTACTGAATTCATTTATCAGTTCTAAGAGTTTTTTGCTAGAGTCTTTAGGTTTTTCTGTATATAAGATCACATCATCTGCAAACAGGGACAATTTGACTTCTTTTTTTCCAATTTGGATGTCCTTTATTTCCTTCTCTTGCCTAATTGCTTTGGATAGGACTTCCAGTACTATGTTGAATAAAAGTGGTAAGAGTGGGCTTTTTCCCATTCAATAAGATGTTAGCTGTGGGTTTGTCATAAATGCTGGTGAGGATGCAGAGAAAAGGGAACTCTTATACACTGTTGGTGGGAATGTAAACTAGTACAGCCGCTATGGAGAACAGGATGGAGGCTCCTCAGGAAACTACAAATAGAACTACCATATTATCCAGAAAGCCCACTACTTGACCTTTATCCAAAGAAAAGGAAATCAGTATATCAAAGAGACATCTGTACTTTCATGTTTTTTGCAGCACTATTCACACAATAGCCAAGATATGGAATCAACCTAGGTATCCAACAACAGATAAATGGATAGAGAAAATGTGGTATATATACACAATAGAATACTATTCAACTGTAGAAAAGAATGAAATCCTGTCATTTGTGGCAACATGGACAGAACTGGAGAGGATTATGTTAAGTGAAATAAGCCAGTAACAGAAAGTTAAATACTGCATGTTCTCACTCATATGTGAAAGCTAAAAAATCTCTAATCTCATAGAAGTAAAAAGTAGGACAGAAGATACTAGGGGCTGGGAAGGGTGAGAGGTAGGGAGGGATGGAGAGAGATTTGTTAAAGGATACAAAATTACAGCTAGATAGGAGGACTAAGTTCTAGTGCTCTATACGACTGTAGGATGACTGTAGTTAACAATAATACATAGTTTTAAATAGCTAGAAGGAGATAGTAAATATTCCCAACACAAAGAAATGATAAATGTCTGGGATGATGGATACGGTAATTACCCTGATCGGATCACTACATGTTATATGTATTGAAACATCAGTATGTACTTCATGAATGTGGACCAGTACTATTTGTCAATTAAAAAGATAAAATTTAAAAAAACATGAAAACAGAAAGTTAAAGTCATTTTACCTGTTTGAGCCTCAGGAAACCCATATATGCAAAAATGCTTAGCCGTAAGGCAGGCACACAGGAGGCATGGAGTAAAAGTCAGCAGTCTGACATAAAATGCAAGTGTTGGGCTCCAGGGCTTCTGCAAATGCAGCACTCCCAGTTTAAGTTAAGAAAACAATATTCCTGCCTAGTAATGGAAGGAAGCATCCTATACACCTGGGCTAACTTGCTGCCTCCTGGCAATAAAGCAGACACAGATAATAGAGCCCCACGCACCTGTTGGGTGGGTGTAGGGCTTCCAACCTTGGCTATGCATTAGAATCACCTGGAAGCCTTTTAAAAAAATGCATCTATCCGGGGGCTCCAATCCCAGACAAATTAAATCTCTGGAGATGAGGCCTGGGACTGATATTTTCTTAAAGATCCTTAGGTGATGCTACAGTCACAGCCATTGCTATACAGTGAATCAAATGATTGCTTGAGAGCAAGACCTTTGATTTGATAATTTATTAGGATCCTTAAGATTTACCTAACTCCTCCCAGCTGAATTACTGATCCTTTTAAGCATTTGTTTATTAACGTATCAGGCAGCAAAAGTGTTTATAAATGAATTTCCCTCGGTCTCACCACCGAAATCAGGACTGGGACTATTATTGAGTTTGACTCTGTGCTTCGCTTTCAGGCCTGCACAGCAATAGACTCGGTGTTCTGTGCTTTTCTCAGCCTGAGCCTTAGTTGTTTCCTGAGGCCTGTTCTCTAAGACTCAGCCAGTCTACAATTCCCCACGTGATCTCTGTCCAGGGATTAACAAACCAAATGCCTGGACCCTAGTACCCACTCCTTTCAGCGGGAAAGATGCCCCTCCCACTTTGGTCAAAAAGTTATTCTTCTGTTATTCTTTTCTCCTGTGCAACAGATCACAGTCCTTCTCACCTCCTCCAGAGACTTCTTACTATCATTCCATCCCTCTTGGCTGTGGAAAAAATAATGGGGGCTCAGGAGAAAAGATTAGAGCCATAAGAATTGGAAAAGGAAAGATAACATATTTCTATTTGTGGATGATATGATATAAGAGCATACTTGGAAAACCCAGGGGAGTCAAGTCTTAAATTCATACCAACAATCTGAGAATTCAGTATAGGAACAGTATGTAAAATTAACAGATAAAAATAGCCTTCATTTGTATTTACAATATCACAAACTAGAAAATACGATGAACCCCAATTACAATAACAAGAGAAAAGAAAAAACATTTAGGAATAAAGTTAAGAAATGCACAAAAACCTACCTGAGGAAAATTACAAAACCTTCCTAAAGATACAAAAGCAAACTTGAACACAAGGAGAAAGAAATATCCTTTATTTTTGGTGAGATGACTCAACATCATAGAGATGTCAATTTTCTCCAAGTTAATATGCAAAATCTAACACCATCTTGATTTAAAAACCCAACAAATTATTTTCTGAGGTAGGCAGGTTGATTTCAAAGTTTTTATGATAAAATAACAATCAAGAATAGCACAGGGTGGGAGGGAGAGCTAGCCTTACCAGACGTTAAAACAACGTGGTATTGATGCATGAATAGACAAAGAGATCAAGGAAGCAGCATAGTAAGTTCAGAACAAGCCCAGAAATAGAGCCAAGTACACATAAGTGTTGGCATATGCTTAAGATGGCATCTCAATCCACTGCAGAAGGACTTTTAATAAATAGCGTTGGGACAATTGGATAACCATATGAAAATAGATAAAATTGGATACATACTCCACAGTGTATATCAGAATAAAAAATAAAAAATACTAGAAGAACTCATGGAATAACCTCTTTATAACCTAGAAATGGAAAAGGACTTTGACTATTACTCAAAATCCAAAAGAAATCAAATAAAAAAAAAGATTTGACTACTTAAATTTTTTTTACATAGGAATAATGCATATAAGCATGCTACCTTTGGTGTAAAAGAAAAGATTAATTAAGAATATATTTATGTGGGCCAGGCGCGGTGGCTCACGCCTGTAATCCCAGCACTCTGGGAGGCCGAGGCGGGTGGATCGCTCAAGGTCAGGAGTTTGAGACCAGCCTGAGCAAT